CAATACGAGTAGTTGGGGATGGGGAAGGATGAAATGTCCCTGGTTTTATTGTAATCTAATAATTATAATCTTATCAATCACACAATATCAAATCATAGTTCTTAGTTTAAGTTTTTTGCTCTTTTATTCTTCTACAGATCATTTGCTCATCAGTATTAATCTGCTGAGAATAAAATAGACAGAAAGACAACAGACTATCTTCATTATTGATCATTTTTGAGCGATAAGATTAAAAAGCTTGGAAACTTTGCAGGCTGTCAGTTTTGTTATTTTGGCTTTTTAAGTTTAAGTTAAAGTATACTTTATTGTAGCCTGGTCGTACCACACCATAGTACAAATTACATTTCGTACTAAGGTCTGGATTTGCTCCATTGAGCTCCGCTAACAGGTGGGAGGGGTTACCTCCTTTTGCAGATTGAAACAATTGGATCTGAGTTTACCGTGACGTATGTAATGCGCCCGAGTGAGTCGTTAGCATTTAGCCTAGCCATCTCCTTTGCCGCTAACGAAGCCCGTCGGGAGTAGTGCCACAATCTTTACCAGCAATGACTTTTGCTATACATTCCTCATGCTCCGGCTTAGATAGAAATATCGTATTCTTTGCCATTCTGCCTGTGCGGCGCAAACTCTTGACGTCAACCACAACTAACTACAACAACCGGCTCCCGCGCTCGCTGATTGGTTGGATGGAATTTAACCAGTTGTAATTCCAAACACAGGGACCAGACCCAGACATGCAGGGAAATGATAATTGAGCGGAGTGTACGGATGGCTAAGGCTAGGCTAACTTTATTGTACCCGAAGGAGCATATATCTGCGTGTGACTAGTTATTGCCAGTATAGGAACAGGAACAGAGCAACGGAGACCCCTGTCCAGATGGTGGCGCTGTCGGGGATGAACCAGACAGAGACGGATCGTGGTGTGCCAAACTCTGGAAGTTTATTTAAGTTTCTCTCAAGTTCCAATGGTTTACTCTGTTTCTTTCTCTCAGGCAGAATAAAGGCAGTACACAGTTTATATAGTCATTGTCACGTCACACATCGAAAGACATACGTGTCACAAAGAGACAGTCAAATCATAGTCATAACATGGAGTCCTTGTAGAGTCCTTGTACAGTCCTGCACGTAGGCCATATTGCTATCTAATACTAACAGCGCCCTACTATGTTCCTCAATGCTTTTCTTTGCATGAGTAAAGATAGATACTTTATAGATCCCCCATAGAAGAAATGCAGGTGTCCAGCAGCAGAAACACGTCCATACAAAAAAATAATTGTATAATTCTAAGGGTAACTAACAATAGTGATAAAATGCAACAGTATTTTAAGTCACAGTAGCAGGGGTGATGCTTCCTATCCTCTTGTTGATGTATGCAGAGTCTGCTGGGTTCAGACAATTTTTGCTGCTGTGGTCTGGATCAATGTAAACCCATGAACACTGTTCTGCAGTAACATTTAAGGTGCGTTCAGACCAGACTTAACTTTGACTTCAAAAGCGTCAGGTTTGCATTGAAAGTGAATGGTGAAGCGCGTCAGGTGACGCCAAGTTGCCCGGCGTCACTTGACGCGCGTCAAAAGCTTCAAAACACGCGCGCATTAAGCTTTTGACGCGCGTAACGCTCGCGTCTCTTTAGGCATAAAAAAATCCCTTGACGCTGAAGTTGAGAAAAGCTGAGCTTTTGGAGCTTGACGCCGGGCTTCAACCATTTAGGAGACGAGGAGCAGCAGCAGCAGCAGCTGCGGGTCTGTCATGGAAAGAAGTCATGTGGCTGCTGCTGTTTTGTTATTATTGTTTTTAGCAATATTATTTGTTATTTGAGTAGTAACGTTATTAATGAGTGAGTAACAAAATAAACGTACACATTCTGTGAAGTAAAAGTAATTTATTTAATATAAGAACAAGCTGACGATGAGTCTGGCTCAGAGCGAGAGCGAAGCTAGCTCTAGGCAGGAGAGAGGCGAGCTCTAGGCGGGGAGAGGCGAGCTCTAGGCGGGGAGAGGCGAACTCCCAGGCGGGGAGAGGCGAGCTCCAGGCGGGGAGAGGCGAGGGCGGGGAGAGGCGAGCTCCAGGCGGGGAGAGGCGAGCTCCAGGCGGGGAGAGGCGAGCTCCAGGCGGGGAGAGGCGAGCTCCAGGCGGGGAGAGGCGAGCTCCAGGCGGGGAGAGGCGAGCTCCAGGCGGGGAGAGGCGAGCTCCAGGCGGGGAGAGGCGAGCTCCAGGCGGGGAGAGGCGAGCTCCAGGCGGGGAGAGGCGAGCTCCAGGCGGGGAGAGGCGAGCTCCAGGCGGGGAGAGGCGAGCTCCAGGCGGGGAGAGGCGAGCTCCAGGCGGGGAGAGGCGAGCTCCAGGCGGGGAGAGGCGAGCTCCAGGCGGGGAGAGGCGAGCTCCAGGCGGGGAGAGGTGAGCTCCAGCCGGGGAGAGGTGAGCTCCAGGCGGGGAGAGGCGAGCTCCAGGCGGGGAGAGGCGAGCTCCAGGCGGGGAGAGGCGAGCTCCAGGCGGGGAGAGGCGAGCTCCAGGCGGGGAGAGGCGAGCTCCAGGCGGGGAGAGGCGAGCTCCAGGCGGGGAGAGGCGAGCTCCAGGCGGGGAGAGGCGAGCTCCAGGCGGGGAGAGGCGAGCTCCAGGCGGGGAGAGGCGAGCTCCAGGCGGGGAGAGGTGAGCTCCAGCCGGGGAGAGGTGAGCTCCAGCCGGGGAGAGGGCGAGCTCCAGGCGGGGAGAGGCGAGCTCCAGGCGGGGAGAGGCGAGCTCTAGGCGGGGAGAGGCGAGCTCCAGGTGGGGAGAGGCGAGCTCCAGGCGGGGAGAGGTGAGCTCCAGGCGGGGAGAAGTGAGCTCCAGGCGGGGAGAGGTGAGCTCCAGCCGGGGAGAGGTGAGCTCCAGCCGGGGAGAGGTGAGCTCTAGGCGGGGAGAGGCGAGCTCCAGGCGGGGAGAGGCGAGCTCCAGGCGGGGAGGAGGCGAGCTCTAGGCGGGGAGAGGCGAGCTCCAGGCGGGGAGAGGCGAGCTCCAGGCGGGGAGAGGCGAGCTCCAGGCGGGGAGAGGCGAGCTCCAGACGGGGAGAGGTGAGCTCCAGGCGGGGAGAGGTGAGCTCCAGCCGGGGAGAGGTGAGCTCCAGGCGGGGAGAGGTGAGCTCTAGGCGGGGAGAGGCGAGCTCCAGGTGGGGAGAGGCGAGCTCTAGGCGGAAAGAGGTGAGCTCTAGGCGGAAAGAGGTGAGCTCTAGGCGGGGAGAGGCGAGCTCCAGGTGGGGAGAGGTGAGCTCCAGGCGGGGAGAGGTGAGCTCCAGGCGGGGAGAGGTGAGCTCCAGGCGGGGAGAGGTGAGCTCCAGGCGGGGAGAGGTGAGCTCCAGGCGGGGAGAGGTGAGCTCCAGGCGGGGAGAGGTGAGCTCCAGGCGGGGAGAGGTGAGCGGCGGGGAGAGGCGAGCTCCAGGCGGGGAGAGGTGAGCTCCAGGCGGGGAGAGGCGAGCTCCAGGCGGGGAGAGGCGAGCTCCAGGCGGGGAGAGGCGAGCTCCAGGCGGGGAGAGGCGAGCTCCAGGCGGAAAGAGGTGAGCTCCAGGCGGGGAGAGGTGAGCTCCAGGCGGGGAGAGGCGAGCTCTAGGCGGAAAGAGGTGAGCTCTAGGCGGGGAGAGGCGAGCTCCAGGTGGGGAGAGGCGAGCTCTAGGCGGAAAGAGGGTGAGCTCCAGGCGGGGAGAGGCGAGCTCCAGGCGGGGAGAGGCGAGCTCCAGGCGGAAAGAGGTGAGCTCCAGGCGGGGAGAGGTGAGCTCCAGGCGGGGAGAGGCGAGCTCTAGGCGGAAAGAGGTGAGCTCTAGGCGGGGAGAGGCGAGCTCCAGGCGGGGAGAAAGCTGAAAACGAAACTCATCCGTACACAGCTCCTGGAGTAAATGGTGAAACTCCGCAAACACTGCAGCCTCTCAAGTCTGTGGTGAACCCAGAACACGTTCTGTAGAAACCCCACGACAACGTTGTTTGGCTTTATATAACAAATAAAGGCTCGCTGCTCTCTGGAAAATCCACCGTTGTCTTGACTACCGGCAACAGAGAAGTTACTCCCACCGGCGTCAAGCTTCAAGCACCAAAATGACAAAAAAAAAAAAACCTGGCGTCAGTTGATGCTCATCAAAAGCGTTTTGAACCTTTTGGTCTTAACGCGCCTTTACAGGTAGAAAAAAAGCACGGTTGTAAAGCATAAAACAACTGTCTCAGTGAAGTAAAGTGTACATAAAGTGTTGCATGTACTGTTGTTTTGACCGTGATACTGTTTAATACAGCTCAGAACGTGAATGTCAGGTCTGTCTCACAACATGTTTTCTATTGATTATATCTCTAGGTTATTATAGCAGAATCTCCCAAAACTGATTCAAAAGTTATTTTAGTGATATCTGCATCTTGTAATATATTGTAAAAGTTGAATATGTAGCATCTGTAAAAATAAACTTTCTGTATTCTTTTTAACAACAAGTGGCATTTCTTTCATGCTGAGATTCATAGGCACATTAAAAAGCATATATATCCATTCAAGGGACAATAATGCAAACAATCTTTTCATTTGGCTCTCACACATGCTCATTTATAACGCTTTTTTATTTATTGTTGCAGAGAACTGGCCACTCCACTCGGACATTTGGCAGACTGACCCATGGTGTGTTGTCAGGACGACCTTTCCATCCCCCATCCCCTCTTCTGCTTATGCCATGTGATATTCTTTGCTTTGATTTATCCCTTTAATATCGCCTCTCTACTGCCGTGTAATGTATTCTACCCGTTTTATTGTTTATATTTCTGCTTGTAAATCCGCCCTCGAAAAAATAACTCTTGCAATCACGCCATCACAGTGCAACTCGTCCAGTGAGCGATATCAAGCAGCTAACTTACTGTGCCAATATTTGTAACGGTCCCTGCCAAAGAAAATCTCCTCTTAGGCCACTTGTAATTCTAAACGTGGTCATATCGCAAAAGTATCTTCATAAATCTTCCCATAATTGCGTTGCTGGGTATTTTTTCTGCTTCAAGACAGAAATGGCTAGATACTACTACTTCCACCGTCAGCTTATTCATAGTGTACTGTGTATTATTTCTGCTCGTTCTTGTCTAGAGATCGACCGATATGGGTTATCTGAGGCCGATTTTAACGGACAATTGTTCTGTTTTTTTATTTAGGCTGCAAAAAGCCTTGGGGATGAGGCTTATGCTGATAGACTAGATCAGTGTCTCCCAAAGTGGGGTACTGCAGGGGGGCCGCGGGAGGTCATAAAAAAAAAAAATATATATATATATATATATATATATATATATATATATATATATATATATATATACATATATATATAATTATTTAATGTTAAATTTATAATGTTTTGTTTGTAATATTAAAATATTTGTGTTCATTATTTGACTTTAATAATCCACTGTAATCATTTTTGTATTACAATGTTTGTAGCAGAGGCTATTTCCCCAAAATAAAATAACCAGAAGAGCCTATTCTTAATGTTGTCTTCTTGGTTATTATTTTGGGGGGCCACGCAGACCCGTCAGATTTTTAAGGGGGCCTCGGTGTTACTGAGTTTGGGAATGGCTGGACTAGATAGATCAAGATTCATTCGTAGTGCCTTTAGATATTGGCTATTATAGGAGCAGGTTTCTTTTAAAGAAGAGACAGACTGAAAGACTGAAAGACTTGATGTTTTATTTGTGGAAGGTCTGTTTATAGCTCATATTTTGTATTTGTGGTTTGAGTGCATTTAACTTCGCATTATTAAGTGAAATGCAAGCATAGCCTGAAAAGCAAAATAACTCGCAGTGAACTGAAAAATAACCAAAAGATGAAAGGTTAAGATATCTGGGTACAAATGTTGCATTCATTATTACTAATTACATTTTGGGATATTTTGATTCCTGAGAAAATAGTCTTATAAATTAGTTATAACCTACCATGGTAGCATGGTATTCCAAAGAAATCGACCCAATAAATTGGCCGAACAATTAATTGGTGGATCTCTATTCTTGTCACTATTGATTTTGTTTTGTCAGGAATAAATACAGTGTATGAATGATAAATATGGAAATTATCGTACTCTGGATCACAGCGTGGAAAGTAAATAAACTTACATGGAGAAAGGTCAAAAAATGTACGCAGGGTCACTTTAACTGTAAGCTTATTATAAAAGTAGATTTTGAAATAAAAAAATCTAATGACACATAATTATGAATGCATACTGTCTATATCTTATCAGCAAACATATTATATTTTACATACATAAGAAAGAGCCAGGTGAGTCGCTAAGTGAAGCTTTGGGCTGAGAGCTGCTTTGGGCTAAGTGACGGTGGTTCTTTTTCACTTTTCTGTTTTAAATTGATGATCTAAAGATTAAACATAGGCCAAAAATACATGTGAAATGCAGTGTTCAAACTAAACTGTTTTTTTGTGGTTTGAAAGTCATGTATCCTAGCTTTAATGGGTTCCAGAAACTGTTCATATTGCAGTTTATTTTGTCTTGACATAATATTTTTGTCACTTACCGCCCATCGCTGTACTACTACTCCAATCAGGATTCGTCATTTACTTTTCTAACCAGTGCCCGTTATCCGCCAGCCGGCCTCCACTCTCGGCTGCTGGTTTTTTAGACTTCTAATGGGTACGAAGAGGATTGGTCGTGTGGGTGAGCGGGATGCTGGTTTCCATAGTAACGCTGCTCTCCCGTCTGCCCTCTCTTGCTGCCACTATGGAAGCGAAGTTTTCCGCTCCTGCCGAAAACAAAGCTACGGTAAAAACCTGCTCAGTCACTATATATACGCCCGTCACCTGTGCCCCCTTGTGGTCACCTCTTCATTTTCCATATTGAATTTGGTTTCATATCGATGTTTGTGTTATGAATGCGCCTCATAAACTCACTACCCCAGTATTTCTGTTTTATTTTTGCTTGTCTTTTCTGTCACAAAATGCATTTCCATTTTAATTCTTTTTTTCATTGGTGTGCAAATCCCTCCTATTCATATTGGCCACACTTTTCCCAAGTTTGCGTTTACTTTTTGTGGAAACAATCAGCGCTTCTGTTGTCATGGATGTTCTTGTGAAGCAGGAACATAAAATTTTGATTCGTATTTAATTTTAATGTTTTAATTGCATCACCAATTCAACACTGCTCCTTCTCTGTGTGTCTTGAAAACAGCTTCAAAATCTGAAATACCCATTTGTATAAGAATCAAAATTATTTTTATTGTCATTGTAAGTACCAGGAAGTCTCAAACTAGGATCTTGCTTTGGCTCAAGGTGCAAACAAGTTATAAAAGTAAAAATAAATACAAATTCTTCTTAACATCTCTTAACATTACTACTATATACGATAATATATATGTTATGAGATATTCCTCAGTCAAAAGCAAACTAACACAATACATGTCTTAGTTCTAAATTTTCATATTTTTACTTGTGTACTCAAACTGGATTGAAATTGTGACTATTTATAATTCACAAACAGTTTAAAGTGGCGTTAATCCTTGGATGTGCCAATCTAAGGTACATTCTGCTCTATGATTGGGTGACCACAAACCAAACAAATTGTAAACATAATCTTGATCTGCTATGCACTTTTTTATGATGACGTTCTAAATGTTCTTTTATTTATTATAACTTTTTATATCTGCATAAAGATTTTAGATCAAAACCGTATATACAGTAATAATTATCCGCCGGTGACATTGATTCTTACTATTTCACAGTTAAATACTTAATTATTTAACTACAAAATAGACTAGATTTCTCTATATTCTATATTTTTCAGAAATGACTTTGAACTTTCTTGCCGGCTCATTGCACTGGTTCAGAACAGGTGCTTATGACCCACTGTAGCTCTTAAAATGCTGCTTCTCTACATCACATGGTGCTTTGTGTCACAGTGCGGCCTCAGACCATTACCCTCATACGGGGGTGAGGGCGGATGTGCAGTCTCCCGTCCCCTGGGGTCGCTCCTCTATGTGAATGTTAAGTGTGATTTATGACTGTGTGCGTTGTTTCAGATTCTGAGACTACGGAGGATGAGACGACCGAGCCCCAGCTGGAGACCAAAGAAGGCAGGCAGCAGGACAAGGCCGGGCGCAAGGGACAAACAGGTACCACATACATGACACGGGACTGCACGCAAGCGGATGTAGACAGATGTTTAGTTTAGTTAAGTTCATTAAGATCCCCATTTGTCACTGAGGTGCAGAGGCTGTTCTTCCTGGGGTCTCCTCGAAATCATGAAATGGCCTTATACATATTTATGAAATCAAATATTATAATGCACACATCCATCCTCTCTCACTCTCTCTCTCACACACACACACACACAGATACAACACAACATGAAAGCTCAATGGGAAATCAGAATCAGAATTCATTTTCTAAAGTTCTAAAGGTAAAAAATAGAATACACCATGCATAAAGATAGAAAATAAATCCACGTAAAATGTATTAAAATTACTACTATACAAGTGCACACAAAATCAATTACCATTTAAAAAGTAATAAAAAATGTGCCTAACAAAAACACATAGATAGTGAGGCTTTGTTTAATTTGACAGGATTATTGGGATTTCTCCTAGTTTTGTAGCATGTTGGCGCAGCGGTTAGCACTTGTACTTCACAACAAGAAGGTCACCTCCAAACAGAGCCTGGATTGGAGTGTTGATTGTTCTTCCCGTGTCTACGTAGGTCGCAATTTCGCCTACCCTCAAGAAACATGTAGAATAAGGCTGGGTGTCTCTCAGAGCTTGTCGATGCGATGTGTGTGTAGATACAGAAGACTTCTGATACGTTTTGATAAAATATTTATTGTGGTTCAGTAATAACAAAAGACTGTTGGCCCCTTTCCTCCCTTAAAATTGGAGAAAAAATAAATTGATAATACTAAATAAATCCTTTCCGGTATGGTGACCCCACTTCCATATCTGTGTGCAGTGAGAGGAAAGCTGCCCATAACATAAGTGTAAAGTGCTTTGTGGGCGCTATATAAATAAATATCACTTACTAAAGGAAAATAACATAATAATAATAATAACTGAACATTTCTGATCCAAATATTGAGGAAGCATTCACCAGAAAACCAATTCAAATAATACGTCCATGTGCATTGTTATGGAAATACAAATACTTCTATGAATAAATCCGAGCAGAAACAGCTTTGTCTTTGTGCTATTTATTAAAGAGGTGATGAATACAAAATAATGACATTTCTCTGCAGAGAAAGAGTGGGACCGAACCTGTGTGCACGGGGACGCATACACAGACTCGCTCCTCTCCCTCCCGTACCAGCATGTTGATAATTTATACTAGAGGCGTGAATCAAAAGGACAATGAGCACACGTCACGGATGGGGGCAAGATGGGATGAGTCATGTAGACAGCTGCAGATAAGAAAGATGGGACAGAGACAGATAAGCGGGAACATTTCGATAGTGCACCTGCAGACAGGGCCAAGGCCATCACAGAACAGTGTGTTGAAGACAAGAGCCTTTGTGTAATGTATCGGTCAATGATGGGAATACAGTCTCTAACGCTGGGAAACCATAAAATGTATCTGTCAGCTGCACAATGTAATTTCTAGTGATGGGAACTGTCCGATGCTGGGAAACCCACCACAACAATACGTAAAGAAGCGGACGTGACGTCAATTGCAAGCTAGCAATTATCAAAAGTGTGTACATAGTTTTGAAACAAATGAGCAAACTATCAAATGGTTAAATAACTCAGTGGAAATGGCTAAATAGTACATTTCATTTGGTTTCATGTCATCTTATTAAAATTAAATTTTTTAACTCAAATCGGGGCTAACCTGTTTACGGCAAATTAATTTACGACCTGTCATAATTGGCTACTGTGCCTGTACGCTGTTTGCTAGTTAACGATGGCTAACATCCCTACAAATTACACAGAAACTCTGAATACTTCTAATAGTACAGGTTATTTTTGTAAATTGGTCCTCAGCGATGGTCATCAGTTGCCTGATCCCTGCAATATTCTCACAGAACAGTGGGTTGTAGATAAAGAGTAAATGGCCATCTATTACCTGGCCTGATATCTATAATTACCTCATTCAGACACCCAGTGTCTATACAAAAGAGAACCTAAAAGCATAAAAATCTATAGATGCATACAATTATGTGTTATGTGGGCATGTGACTGTGACATGTGAGGGCCAACTGCCTAGTTTTGGCAAAATGCTCAAGTGCACTGACTGCTACCAAATGTTTCACTATGGCAAGGCAAGGCAAGGAAAGTTTATTTGTATAGCACAATTCATACACAAGGCAACTCAAAGTGCTGAACAAAACAAGAAAGCATTAAAATCATAAATAATCACAGAACATTAAAAAGAAAGATAAAAATATAAATATAAAATCCCTCAGATGTATGCACAGGTAAACAGAACCGTTTTTAACCTGGTTTTAAACATTGTCAGAGAGGAGGCCTGTCTCACATCTTCAGGAAGATTGTTCCAGATTTTAGCAGCATGAATCTGAAAAGCAGCCTCCCCATGTTTAGTTCTGACTCTGGGCACTAACAGGAGTCCAGTCCCTGTGCTCCTCAGAGTCCGGGCTGGTTCATATGGGACTAACATGTCACTAATATATTTTGGTGCGAGGCCATGGAGAGACTTGTACACAAGCAGAGCTGTTTTTAAAGTATATTTCAAAGTATATTTTAATACAACAACACACACACACACAAATGCAACCGCAGCATTTTTTGTTGCACGTGCAACAACCAATCAGAGAAAAGAATCTACTGATGTGTGTAACTTTGCATAATGTTCCGGTAACTTTGGCAACCGTTTCCATGGTAACACTATTCTATTACGTCATTCCATGACATCACTCCATCTTGATAAGAATCTTAACAACAGGTTAGGCGGCACATAACGCCGATGGACGTACAGGTTCAAGTATCTGACTCAGTATACACAGAGAACAAAGTAAGCCCTACAGTACATTACCCCGAGAATCAGATATAAACAACATTATGTCTGTGGACCAGATAGAAAACACGTTGAGGGATCAGTTAGAAACAGAGAGGAAGGAACACCAGGCCTCCCAAAAGGCCCTGCAGCTTAAGAACCAGGTCTTAAGAGAGAGAATGAATGAGATGGTTAAAAATCATGTCCAACAGACGCTGGCATTAAAGAATCGCTGGAAAGCCAAGTGTGACAAAGATGTAAAAAAGGAGAGAGATCATTGGGAAGACAAAATTGAAGCCAAAGATGAATATATTCAGCGTCTAGAAGACCAACATTTCACAAAAAATGAATACCTATGCAATACTGCAGAAATATACGAAGATCATGTCCAGTCCCTTTTGAATACCCTCAATCTGAGGATAGAGCAGAGCAACTCTCTGCAAAAGCACCTCAATGATCAGCTGAAAGAGGAAATAAAGGCCAAAACTGCAGCACAGCAAGAGACGGTGCAGCTGCAGAAACAGAGGGACAAGCTTCAAGGAAAACTGGTGACTCTCACATCTATCCTGGACCACAAGAGGCGTGCAAACCAAGAGGCCATGGAGAAGAATGAGGCCATCAACAATCAGGTGAAAGAGGAGGCAAAGGCCAAAACTGCGGCACAGAGAGACGTGGAGCAGCTACAGAGAGAGAGAGACAATCTCCAAACTAAAGTGTTGTCTCTCACAGCCGCCCTGGACCAAGAGAGTCATGAAAAGGAACAACTGCAGGCCAAAGTGCAGGAGAAGGAGAGGACAATAGACTCTCTCACAGCCGATGTTTCATCTTTAAGATCTGATTTGAACAAGGAGAAAGCTACATCTCGGGACCTTCGTCACCGCTTTTGTTCACACTGAATGCTCTGTCATGTCAGAATCATGTCAGGATTATTTATCGCAATCAAAGTTGAATAAAACTATAGTCTGAGTTTTTTGTTTGCTTTTTATTTGCACAATTATAGCGTTTTTAAAGTCTATTCTCTGAGCCACAGGAAGCCAGTGCAGATACCTGAGAACAGGACTAATATGGTCGTACTTCCTGGTTCTAGTCAGGACTCGAGCTGCTGCATTTTGGCGGCACGGTGGCTGAGTGGATAGCACTCTCGCCTCTCAGCAAGAAGGTCCTGGGTTTGAATCCCGGCCGGACCAGGGCCTTTCTGAGTGGAGTTTGCATGTTCTCCTCATGTCTGCGTAGGTTTCCTCCGGGTACTCCGGTTTCCCCTACCACTAAAAATATGTACAATAGGTCTGGCATGCGCCTCCTGTTCGGCGATTCCGCTCCCATCTCTGTGTGGAGTGAGAGGACAAGTGCCCAAAAAATAACAATTGTAAACCGCTTTGTGACTCTGGTCTGTGAAAGGCGGTATATAAATAAAGCTTACTTACTTACTTACTAGAATTTTTTTTAGCTTGAATTTTTCCATTGGAAATGTTTAACCCTGAAAAAGCAAGTTTGAATATTTTTATCTTTACTTTTCAGTCACTAAAAATTCAGTTTACAAATTTAAATGTGATTAAAATTTCAATATGACATATTCACCCTCAAAATATTCAATATATTTTTTTTTTCAATGTAAAAAAACAGACGGATTATTTGTTCCATCAGAAATTGAATTTTAAATGGACCTGAATTCATCTATTTGAATGTTTTTAACATCTTGAATATTTTTTTCTGTGAATTTCAGTCACTGATTATCAATTTCATAATGTTAAATTCAACAGTCAAAATTCAACGAGAAAAAATTCAATGGTGAAAAATGTACATGACACATCCGGTGTTCTGACGAGTTGTGTGCTCTGTCAGTTGGTCTGCGCATGCGTCATTTTACTGAGGTAAAGACTGGCGCTAGCTTTCAGCAGGTCTATTGGTTGATAACATGAATCTAACAGGTTGATATGGGATTTCTAATGAATGGATTGTAATGAAACCAAGGCGAATAACAAGATGATACTACATTAATTTGATGAGTTCGTCTTTTTGGGTACATGTGCTCGTTTCAAATCATTATTGCTGTATATTCCTGTTTATTTATTTAGGCTGTGTTTGTTTGTGTTCATGAAAACCATCACATTTGAACATTTATAGCAACAAAGGACAATGTTATTGTTGGTAACGTTACACAGTATTTGGGTCTAGTTTCCCGTGTAGCAGTGTCCACAGGGCTCACTCGTGTTACTTGAAAAAGAGCTCCATGTAAAGGAATTAACAAAAAACATGTATTCCACAGCTCAAACTCTTGTGCACTAAATGATATTTGCTGAGTTGTCTCTGAAATAAAGTAACAACGGTAAGAACACCGTATGGCTGCTTATTTATGGAGCTGTGAAAAGTTACGTGCTCTTTCGGCTCCACTCGCTCCGTAAACAAAGTAAAACCTCTCTCTTTCTCTCTCTTTCTTAAAGTGACGGTAACGTAAATATTCTAAGTTAACAAAATCTCCATTAGTTCTAAAGGGTCTAATGTAGATAACGAGAGATTCCAACGTCAGTGAAGAGAAAACAGAGTTCATTATGCGCTGCGCAGACCAACTGACAGACCAACTGACAGAGCACACAACTCGTCAGAACACCGGATGTGTCATGTGCATTTTTCACCATTGAATTTTTTCTCGTTGAATTTTGACTGTTGAATTTAACATTATGAAATTGATAATCAGTAACTGAAATTCACAGAAAAAAATATTCAAGATGTTAAAAACATTCAAATAGATGAATTCAGGTCCATTTAAAATTCTATTTCTGATGGAACAAATAATCCGTATTTTTTTTTTTTTTTCATTGAAAAAAATAAAATGATTATTTTGAGGGTGAATATGTCATTTTGAAATTTTAATCACATTGAAATTTGTAAACTGAATTTTTAGTGACTGAAATGTAAAGATAAAAATATTCAAACTTGCTTTTTCAGGGTTAAACATTTCAAACTGAAGAATTCAAGCTAAAAAAAATTCAAAATCTGACAACACAAAAAATCTTCCATAGTATTCTAACAATTTGAAAGTTATACCAGTTATACCCCAAGGAGGCGATTGGACAGTTCAAAGTTGTAATTTTTTAATTACCTAAGTGTGGGCATAAAGCTGTGTGTGTGTGTGTGTTTTAATAAAGCTTTCTTTACATACATATTCCTATGAACCTTCCCGGCCCCTGCGCTCCTCCGGCAGCAGACTCCTAACCATCCCCAAAGTCAGGACACACACTCACGGCGAGGCATCTTTCCAGCACTACGGCCCCCGTCTCTGGAACAGTCTGCCGGAGGAGCTCAGGGCCGCAGAGAACATTCATATTTTTAAGAGTAGGTTCAAGACGCACCTTTTTAGAGTAGCTTTTGATTAGTATTTATTATTTATTATTGCTTTTTAGTACATCTATTTATGTTTTTAGACACATTCTATTTTTATTTATTTTTATCATTTACTATTTTTAATTATTTATTGTATCTACCCATTTACTATTGTTATTATCAATATTAGGAAGCTGCCATTTTTCTTTTTATTGTCACATTTTATTGTTCTACTTTCTATTGTATTATTGTATTGTTTTAGTGTCCCCAGTGTTTCCTCTGGAGGAGCCCTCTGCACTGAGAGCTGGGGTCTGCTGTGGCTTCGGGGTTCTGGCTCTTGGATCCGGTGGGGGTCTGGGGCCTCCTCTCTCCTCTGGGTCCTATGGGGTCTGAGTCCTGGGCCTGGTGGGGTCTGGGGCCCCTCTCTCCTCTGGGTCCTGTGTCGTTCCCTGTGGCTGCAGCCGGCTCTCTGCTCCTGGTGCAGATGGCTCCTTGGATGGCGCTTCTTCAGCCGTTACATCTGCTCCCAGCCCCATTTCTTTTTATTGTTTTACCTATTTTACCTGATATGACTTTATACTTGTATGTGTGTGTCTGTGTGTGTGTGTGTGTGTGTATATGTGTGTGTGTGTGTGTGTATACGCATGGTTGTATATATAATTATAAATGTGGTTTTGGGGGGTCTGTGGGGAGGAGGGTTTAGGGCTGGGCATGTTGGATTGTTTTTAACGAAACTGTAAAGCACTTTGTGTTACACTTTTTGTATGAAAAGCGCTTTATAAATACAATTTGATTGATTGATTGATTGATCCGCCAATGCTGAATAGTGTTCTGCAGCAGCCTGGCCAGCCGCTGCATTCATATGCTAATTAGGGCCATTCGCGCTCGGCCGGCCGCAGTGTTTCGCAGTGATGGGCAAGCTACAGTACTTGATTTGTGTAGTGAGCTAAGCTACAAGCTACTCTACAATAAATTCAGCTTCACTACACAGAAGCTACCACCCATACAAATGTAGCAAGCTAAGTTACAAAATTCTGTCAAAAGTAGCTTGCTATATAGAAGCTATTTTCAATTAAACAAACTGCAGTTCATGCAATTTTATATTTTCCTGCATTAACATGTTTGCTCATTTCTTATTTTTTGCACAATTCTTGAGTGTTTTATCCATGCCAAATGTGACATGTAAATTTCTCCTGTGTGAGATTAATAAAGCTTATCTTCTTATTTGAGATAAACTGTCAGATAAAGGTTAAAATGTTGTAGATATTTATTGAACAATAGCCCAAAACACCAAAAACAACAAAGAGTAGGCATCTGAAAACATATTTCTTTTCGCTCATCTCGACTAGAGTGACGTACTTTTGGAGGTATGGCCACGGTACAACACTTTGAGAGTCCTTATCATGGTCCTCCTCCACCGCGGCGGCTCCTGGGCTCTCTGCCATGCTTTTGCTTCCCCCAGTAGAGCACGCTGTGTGTGCGTGTGTGTGTGCGCGTACGTTCGTGTGTGTGTGTGTCGTTACCAAGCCCTGCACATGCGCATCAGCATTCTGTCTTTCTGTAGAGTCCTTGTACAGTCCTGCACAGGACTGTACAAGGACTCTACATTTCTATATGTTTGTTTTATGCTGCGGGAAAATGCTGTAATATATGAACATCAGAGATGTCCGTGAGAAAATAGCTTTGGCGGACGCTACCGCGCTACTTGAGCAATAATATAGCTTAGCTACAGAAAAGTTACTAGGTTTTGTAAATAGTGACGCTACTGTCAAGCTACTGAAAAATGTAGTTAAGCTAGTAGCGACGCTACTTGTAGCGACGCTACTGCCCATCACTGGTGTTTCGCTGCATTCATATGCAAAGTAGGGACATTAGCATGGTACGGATGCGGCAGTTTGGAGGACAGGGCCTGAGATACCCGAAAAAGAGCGTGATTTCCTGCCGTTTAGGGTGACGAAAATCTAACTTTTCATGCAGTGCCTTATACTGTAGTCGCTCATACAGACTCCAAACTTTCCAGTCTTGGACGTAACAATATTTAGAAGGTTTTTTCAGAGGGATTTTTTAATAGCCTAGCCTGATTTATTCAGCTTTGAACCCATAAAAACAGGCGGAATTGGAGTTTTTACAGATTTGTTCATTATGATTGGTCAATTGAAAAACTAAACAATATATCCAAAATCCCATCTGCTAAAATCTTAGTTACTAATATGTCAATAAAATGAAACCATACATTTTAATCTGGCGCAATCTATTATTTTTATTCCGTTGCCCAAAATATAGGCAATTTTGGCCATTTTTATGAACAACATGTCTTACTTTTTATATGGAAGCATAAAATGACAGAACATTTTAAGTGTTAATTTAACACTTTCTGGTGTGGTCGCATATAAACCCCAGAAAAGGGTTAAAAGTAACACCCTGGGAGTTGATTTGCCAATATGGATTTTGCTGTGTATTGAACTAGATTGACCAGGGCTCGAGTCCACAGGAATGTCGAAAATCCAGTTTAAGCAATAAACAATAGATATATACACAACATTTTTGGGGCAATTAGACAACATAACATACATAA